ATGTTTGCAGTTTGACCTACTTAGCTGTACACCTGTGGTCTCTTGACTTTTTGCCTAATTAGAAAGGGGAGTTACTTTCTGCACTGGATGCAGGAAGGGATGTGATAGGATAATTGATTATTTGAAACTGTATTTAAGTTGATCAAATGTTTTGTAAGCTTCTGGTGAGGGGTGGTGATGGCTTGCAGTTTTTGGCTGTTATGTTTTTGAAAATAAAACTAAGCAAAGATATTGCAGACAGCCTTTTATTTATACGCTCCCAGTCCCTGCGCACACTCTGTGTTGGTGAAAAAGTCCAACAAAACTCAGTAAGGAAAGCAAGGGTCAGCTACTGCACATAGAATAAATACAGATAATTTCTACTGGACATCTCTTTAAAGTAAACAAAACTATTGCTATCTTAAAACTTACAGGTCAGCTACAGAGCACATGGTTTGCATCAAACATCCCAGTCAGAACCTGGAATCTTCAATGTAAAACATGTAATCCAGGTTTCAGTCCAGGTTGGTGGTTTGAATCCCTGTGACAGGGTGCGCTCCCGTTGCTCTGCCCCAGCTTCTGCCAACCTAGCAGTTCAAAAGCATACCAATGCAAGTAAATAAATAGGTACTGCTGTGGTGGGAAGGTAAACAGCATTTCTGTGCTCTCTAGCTACCATCACAGTGTCCTGTTGCACCAGAAGCGGTTTTGTCCTGGTGGTCACATGACCCGGAAAGCTGTCTGTGGACAAATGCCAGCTCCCTCAGCCTGAAAACGAGATGAGCACCACATCCCATAGCCGCCTTTGACTGGACATAACCATCCAGGGGTCCTTTACCATTACCTTTAGCCTGGCATCTCCACTCAAAGGATCCTGAGTACTATGGCTTCAATAGGCTCTGCCTAACACTGGGAAACAGCTGCCACTCAGAGGAGACAGCAATGGGATAGACAGCACCAGGTTTGAACAGAGCCCTCAGCAAAGTTTCCTCTATGATGTGACCCTTGACCTTGGACTTACCCATAGTGGTGGATAGCTATGTGCCACTTTAGAAATTTAATAATAATAGTCGTATTGGGTTACATCCAGCATTAGTTTTACTCAGAGTAGACCCATTGACACTAATGTTTGCTTACTTAATTTCAGTGGGTCTACTCTGAATAAAATTGTAGTTAGATGCAACCCATGACTTAATTACAGGGAATTATAACCCATTGCACTCGGATCTGCCTCCCCTCGTGCATAATTATAGAACGAAAAAAATGTTTTTTCTTTAATTGACTGATCCACAAAACCAGAGATGTATTGTGTTTGTGCATTCCTGGGAAGTAATGAAGACATTTCCAAAAGTTTCTAAATTTAGAAAATATATATGGGAGGAAATGTACCGTCAATATTTCTGTTTCATAGACTAACTCTATTAATATAATATTAATATTGACAGGATCTTATACATGTTTACTTGGAAGTAACCTTGGGCTAGTCACACTTCTCTGAAGTCTCTCAGCCTCACTCACCTCACAGAGTGTTTGTTGTGGGGGAGGAAGGGAAAGGAGAATGTTAACCGCTTTGAGACTCCTTCAGGTAGTGATAAAGCGGGATATCAAATCCAAACTCTCTTTACTGATTTCAATAGCCATTACTCCCAATAAGGGATAGATGAGATTTTTATTATGTTCACATATAAAGGCGAACACACCTAATTCTCACTTTGCAAAACAATACGAAAAACTGAAATGCAGCAATCCTTCAAAATTTGCAATTCTCTGAATTTTGCAACACATTTCTCCAGCCAACTACTGTATACAAAAATTCATATATCAGAGTAACATTTGCATAAAATGCCTATATTAACTAATAACAAAGCACATTATATTAGAGAAATGTGCTTTGCAAAAGTGTGTATATTAGACAAAGCTGCATACAAAAATGTGTATGTCAGTAGGAATTCACACTAAAATGCCGATCACTTTTCATAAGGACTTTAAAAAGTAAATAAATTCGCAAAGTGGTGTGGAAATGTGGAGAACCCAACATAAAATTGGAACTATGAGAAACCAAAATTGACTGAGTCACCCGTCCCTGTTCCAGAATAAATGAGAATTAGAACAGCAGCTCAAGCTGTACTTACCGTATTAGGAAAGGTATTGTTGGTCCTTGGCATACGTTCAGCAGATGTCTCTTGGAGAATCTGGTCACTGTCAAGAGTTAAGGACTTCAGGATTCTGTGTTAATAAACAACCCTTCTAGAAGCCAAACGTAACTTCATGGGGTCCTAAATACCAGTATGCTTTTGTTAGACATTCTCTAACAAAGCCCTGCGAAGACCTTCTGTCATTGACTTCAGGAGCTTCCAAGGGTGCCTGCAGGTGGAATTCTGGCTTGATATTGTGAGACCACTTGCATCATGCCAATTGCCTTCCTTTTCGCTGTTATTGGTGAACTTTATCACTGAGGGAGAAACAATGCACATGGTATATGACCCAAGTACAGTGGACGCTTGGGTTGCGAACGTGATCTGTGTGGGAGGCACATTTGCAACCCACAGCGTTTGCAACCCGCAGCGTTCGCAACCCACAGCACCGCATCTGTGCATGTGTGGGCCATGATTTAGCGCTTCTGCGCATGCGCAAAGTGCAATTTAGTGCTTGTGCGCATGTGTGAGTGCCAAAACCCGGAAGTAACCCATTCCGGTACTTCTGGGTTTTGGCGCACCCATAACCCGAAAATGCGCAACCTGAAGAGTCTGTAACCCGAGGTATGACTGTAGTAGGCATGCTAACCTAAGTGGATCAGTGTGGGCAGCGCAGGTCCAGCCAGCAACCCAGCCTAGTCTAATGTTAGCTGTCACATTTTTACAGAAAATGACTGATAGAAACATTGTTCGCTTCAATGGGTCAGGAACTGAAACCCGTTCCAAGTCTATTAGAAGAAAACTGTCCCTTTCCAAGTCATCTATACAGAGCAACCACCGTCACAATCCCAGTCAATATCTATTTAAAAATACTGGCAACTCAACAATATGTATTTGCATATATAAACATATTTAGCCATATGTTTGTGTGCCTCAGCTCTTGATGCATGAATCTGATATTTTGGAAGCCATCATTCGAAGACCACCTTGAAAGAAGCTCTGTTTTTTAACAGATGGCTACTGTGCCCTCTAGGAAAACATGTCTTTCCCCCCCACCATCAAACTGGCACAGGTCCACTGTTCAATCTGTACATATCCCTTAGGAATATATGGCATGTGGTCTTGGCAGTGGGGGTGCTTACTTAATGCAAGAACCAACTGCGCCAAAGAAAAATCATATAGCCCCCTCCCCGTCCCGATTTTCTCCATCAAAAGAGAAACCATGTCAAGAATCCATCCCTGATTCTGAAATTCAAGTCACAGCAGCAGCAAATACAGGGTCCAACTAAATGTATCCCAATGAATTATGTGTTCGTCTGTTTGGATAAGCTCTCCAGCCTGTTGGTCTTCCAAACTGCTTTTTGCTGCTGTTGCTGCAGAAAAGAAAAACAAAATCCCACAACCTGATTTTGCAGGTTGGCAGATTTCAGGCTGGATCAGCTGGCTGGTTGTGCGGCCAATTTCCTAAGCTACTTTGAAGCTGGAAAGAAT